AAAAATTAAAAAATACCTCTTAAAGTATTATTGTTCGTGTAATTACATTTAAAAGTACTTAAGGAATAACTAAAACACCATTTCATATAGGTAGTTAGTTTCTTTCTGGTTTTCCAAAGTAATTATCGTTATTTTTCATGAAAAAAAAGGTTTCGGGCTGAAGCGCCCCCTAAAATTAAATCCTGGATCCGCTAGTGATGTTCTGTACATTCTATATTTTAAATGTGAAGCAAATTTGTATAAAAATTAAATAACTGTTATCATAACTTCATGGCGGATGGAATTAAAATGTTGTTATTGATTCCTCACTACCGAAGGTAGAGAAGCATTGTATTCGTGCTAGAGGTTAAATAAAATTTTGTGCTAAAATCGAAAATTTCCACTCGCGTTTTACGTTTTACGTTTTATTACATCAAGGATCAAATTTGGTTCGGTGTCTGTCTGTAATCAAATCGATGTAACGGTCATATCACCTACTACCTACTAATTTTCAGAGATTGTACAGATTGGTGCCTTGATGGTTCCATATCAATTTTATTAAATTCCGTCCAGCACTCCCGCTTGCGCACGCGTAAATGTGTTTTCATATATATGCCAATATTTCAGAAACGGTTCGTTCAATTTTTTAGTTCAAGATTTGGCTCAAAGTTGAAAAAAAGATGGGTTTTGGTAAAATAATGATTCTGTGTCGATTTTATTGAATTCCGTTATCAACTTTCTCTTATATATATATATATATATATATTATATATATATATATATACAAACGCGTTTTCCCTGATACGCTTATATCTCTGGACCGCTAGTTTGATTTGGCTTGAATTAGGAGGTTAGTTAGGGATTGATTTACAGATAATTGGGTAAGTATCAATTTCATCAAATTATATCCACAACTCTAAAAAAAAAAAAAAAAAAAAAAAAAAAAAAAAAAAAAAAAAAAAAAAAAAAAAAAAAAAAAAAAAAAAAAAAAAAAAAAAAAATACTACGGCTTTAGGATCAGTAAACATATTATTTGATACGCCTATAGTTTTAAAATCGTTGAATTTGACCCAGACTTGGAAGAAATTTGGAGAATAGTTCAGAAATTGTCAAGTATCAATTTCATTTAATTCCATTAATTCCATTTAATAATTAAAATTAATACAAATAACTTAATAACACAATGGCTGTGAAATTTAGAAAGCATTGATGACATCGCATAGGGGTTAGGTTAATACAATATTTTTATGACGTTATAACATTTTAGGTTTTATTCTAAAAGTTAATTTATACTGGATTGTTTGGTCGATTCCAAACGTTACTGGCATGACACTTACTGCCTTTACTTGGATTTCATGTAATTTTCAGTAAATTTTACTTTAATTAGTTAGTAAAAAAAAAAATTCTTATTTGTGATTTTGTTTGTGTCTATTGAAAAACAACCAGCTCGTCCTCGGTCTTGATTTCGTCCTTAACCATCAAAGTTGTGTGAACTTCAATCATATTTTTATATTCCAGTTTTAATTACTTTCTTTCTGACTGAGGGAAAATGTTGGTCTCGTTAACATCGAACAAACAAAAAGCTGAATTCTTCCAATGGATTTTTGTTCGTTCCATTTTACTAGTTAAAACATTCCTATAAGTATACATAGCTACTGTAAGTGTAAAAGATCGTATGTAATAATTTTCCATTTTTATTCTATTGGTGCTAAAGGTGACATTTCGTAGTGTGCAATTGATATAGGTAGCCACCTACTATGGAAAATAGTAGAGGAAAATAAATTATGAAATTATACTAATCAATCATATAGAAATAATTAGTTTTAAATAATTAGATTTACTCTTCTATAAAACACTCAATTTTTACTTGCGACTTTTCGCACTAATACTAGCGATTTACATCTTCATTACATACTAGGATTTTTTTTCTAATCACAATTCATCAAATACGCGATTTGGAAATGTAGAATTTTTCCTCATTTTAGTATTCGCTGATGAACAAAATTGTTGGATATCAAGCCCGCCAATATTAAGGAATTACCGTATTTCCGAAAATGGTTTCTCCCGGAAATTTTATTCTCCTACGAAAAAATATAGACTTTATATATAGATATTGTTCAGCCAATGAAAACAGTGGGGAATCTATACTGGCCTTACTTGGCAGATGTTTTTAACTTATTCTCGTACTCTAAATTAGTGAGCCATCATACTTGAACCAACCACTTCATTAACACCGTCCGTATTGCTTCAATGCGAACGAGGATTTTCTATTTCTATTTTAACTCATCGCTAATGTCGAGAGTATGGATGGCTAAGTAATGAAACTTAAAATATTCACCATGCCTGTCATGTCATTATATCATTATCGCCATCACATTTGCTGATTGTCAACTTATTGTTGACAGGCGCAAATACATATTTTATAGACAAAAAAAAAAAAATATATTCATTTTTGAGTTTTCGCATTGAACAAAAAACCCATAGCAAAATTAATGTTATGGACGTAATCTATATTAAATTTAGTTCACAAAGCCAGAATATAGATAGTTATACGCTGTGTGGAAGAACATGGTATTTTGTTCCCCAGATAAAATATTTTGCACTTCCTCTAGTTTGCTACATACAGGACGGTATGGTTCATTACTTAACTACCACCACTTAAACGATTTTTTAATATGATATATTTAGTATTAAAAACACTTTAATTACTTTTGACTATGAAATAATTATAAATTAAGTGTTTTTGGATTGATTCAAATATTTTATACTTATTCTTAAAAAAATATGAATAATAAAAAAGTAAAATGTAAAATAATGATGTCAGGCAGCCTATATTATATTTTTGTATGGTAAACAAGATTTCAAGTAAAAACTAGTTCATTATTTTTTTGTTATTATTTGAATTTGATTTAACTTTTGCAAAATATAGTTTATTGATCTTCTTTTTGGCGGTTTTTGTCATGTTGAAACCCAAATTTTCCAATACATTTGCCAATTTCGCTCTGTGTTTTTGCCGTCTATTGTTGATATTACACAACATTAACGAAGTAAACATGTCAATGATAGAATCATATTTCATGTTTGGAAAACAAAGACTGAAGTTTTGTTCATTGATTAATTCCTTGAGCCTCAATTTTTGATTCTTTTTTAAAAGTTCCCCATACAAATATGTCAAGTCTTTTTTTGATTCTTTTGGTAGATCGAATCCAATATTTTCTAGTACGTCAATTAAGTCATATTTACTCAGAAGATAGTTATCTGAAAATTCTTTCCTCATTTTTTTATAAATTTTTGTATTCTCAATAAATTCAGTTAATTTATTAAATTTAACTCTTTTGTTTTTTTCCTCTTCGACAGTACCCTTAAATTTGATTTTACTATACATTGTGTCTCCTGCTGTTATATTTTTCGCTTTTATTTCTTTAATATTTTTGTTAATTACAACTTGTTTGGACATCTTATTACGGTGTTTCCAATTCTTTTTGTTTCTATCATCATCGTCATCTGAATAAAGTATATCGAATTCAAGGTTTTTATTTTCTTTGCCTTGCATTCCTTGTCCTTCAATTGTGTGATAGGATTCTGATAGTTTCTTATATTTATTATCATCATTTATTTGTTTTTCTTCGAGGTATTGTGTCAAGATGTTTGTCACATTGTATGTTTCTTCCAGGTAGTTGTTGAGATATTCCTTACAAACCTGTCGCAGTTCTTTCCTCAAGCTCATAGAGATATTTAGCCCAGGATCTTCAATAAGATCTATGATGTTTTGCATCTTATTTATTGGGTTATAATCGCTCGCACTGATGATAGGCTGATCATTACTTTCGGTTGTGTTAAGCAGTTTGTGTATTAATCTTCTCTTCGTTGTATTTCTTCTTTGGAGTCGATTAGTAATACGATTTTTTCCCTTCATGATATTTTTAAATATTTTTTCTTCTCCTGAAGTCGAGTTATTTTGTGAGATGCTGAGATATTTTCTGTAAAGTACGTTTCTCACAGGAGGACTTCTAATGGCTAGCGCTTTGAGATATCCGACCGGATCCACCTTTTTCAATATTTCATCTTCGTCCCTCCATTGCAGCCTTATCGTCGAATTGTACGCCTTCGGTAGATGTAGACTCCTGAGGTAGTCCAGGTCTTGTTTTGTATCGATGTCCTGAATTATACTGTGGTCGTCGATACGCTTCTGTAAATTGATTAGCTCAAGCAGATGCCTTATATATATTCCAGAAAGTGGAAACCCTCCGGTAATCATGTCACATTTTTTATACAGCTTGCTCAACTCCTTGATCCTCCATTCGAGGTTGTCATCATGGTACTTTGATCGCACCATATCGTAAACCCATCTTGGGAACCGTTTGTTATTTTCTAACCATAATAGGTAGGTTGCAGAAGGTGGGTATGCTGATCGAAAATCGGTAGGAAACTTTTTTTGTCTGCTCTCCTTAAAAAAATCGCTTTTATTCATGTGGATTTCGCCGTCCTGCTTTAAGCTGTCATAGTCCAAGGAAATCTTCTTGTCTTCTTCACCTTCAATGACTTCGAATTGGCTTTGAACCATTATCAAACCGCAATGGTACCTATACATGAGAAAAGGATGATGGTTTTAAACTAATTTTAACGAATTACTATAAATGTAACATTTAATGGAAGGCTAAACATCAATAGCTACCAATAAGTGGCAAACGAAAACAATTGAGTTAAACAACAACAAGCTAAATGCCATCATAATATTCATGTCATCAATGTTAAACCAACAGCCTTAAAAGCGGTTTAAATGGCGCTATAATTAAATCATAGTAACATTAAACGCGCTTTTGGCTGTTGTTTATCTCAATTGTTTCGCTTGGTACTTGGCCCGTTATTGATGTCCTGCCTTTAATTATTAATCATATTTTTAAAATATAGTTAATATGATTAAGCTATACTAATACTGATACTAAATAATATATTTCACCATATAATAGTTTATATTTAAATTGCAAATATTAATGTTAATACTGTATGCTTTTGTTTAGACAACTTACCAATACAAAAGTATGATAAACACAAGCTTTGTCATTCGGCGACATAGGTAACTCACTACAGTGCAACTAAATAAGGTTGGTAATTGCCTTGTGATCAACTAACTTGAAAATAAACGAATTTCTTGTCCATCTTCTAACTATATTTTGTCTTTATTTTGCTACATTTTTAAATCATTGAACAGCTGATCAGCTGTTTTTATTGCTGTGATATATGCCTAGAAAATGTATTGTTGACTAAATATGATTTCAATAATACATTGACAAAAGATTAATCGCTAAAGCAGTCAGAATTGTTCAGCTGGTGAAAAAAAGGAAGTAAGCGGAGAATGGATAGGTTCCAGTCGACGAATTTATTCAGAGAGTTAAATATGTTTATGTGTTATTTTATTTATTTTTTTTTTTTTTTGTGTTTGTTTATTTCATGAACTCCGAACAGAGGAAGAAAGGCAGGTTCTTTACTAGTTAATAACCTATTTTAATCAGAGGGGCAAGGACAATATTATTCCACGAGACCGCCACAAAATTAATCAATATTTTTAAATCGGATTCGAACATTCTATGCTTACATATGACACTGAGCTTCATGACACTTAATCCACTAGGCCATTACAGCCTCAATTTTTTTATTATTTTTTTTATAGAAACCTGGTGAATGCTAGGTCCATTTCGTTAACCAGTGGCTAAAACAATTTCTCATTATATAATTATTTACGTATGATCATGGAAAAATTACCCATTTGAAAGAACAAAAAAAACAATCGACATTCATATGGTGAAAGGATTTGAAGATTTTTAACAAATGTTAAAACAATTTTAAATAGATAATGTACCTAGCAAAGCATATTAGTCACAGTTTCCATAACATTTTACAGGAAATAGACCTTGAGCACAAGTTTATTCACCTGCTGCTGGAAACCTAGCCCGTTTTTTTAAAAAAAATTATTTCTCAATTGTTTTTTTTTAAACATTTATTTTTGTTGCCATTATTAATTCCAACTTATTTTTTTAAAAGAGCTAAGTAAGTTCTATTCGCGATGTCAATAACGATGTTACCAAAATTGGGACATTTCCAAATCGATTTACCTATTACATCGATATTTATGGTTTAATTTATTTTTGTTTTGTACTAAATTTTAATGTAACACGATTTATTATTATAAAAATGGTTGTGCAGTATCAACCTACGGATATGATACCTACATATCATACGGAGTGTAATCTATTAAAGAATCGACAAAATACATTAAAGGTAACAACCTAAATAAAATCATATAAGCTTGGGTGGAAAATAAAAAGTGAATGCGTTTCCTTGGAAACAACATGCGTTTAACTCTATAAATAAATTATTTGATATTTGTCAATTGATTTGATATTTACCGAGTCTTGCTGAAGTATACCTCGTAATTCACATGGGAATTGTTTGGAAGCTTATTTACTTCAACTGTATTTCTATTTCGCCGATGAGGAACATAGTTACCAAGTTTTATTTTTCGTTAGCCGTGTCTACCTATTCCTATCTTAAACGTGTTTTTTCTTGTTGGTACGTCATAACTTTGTCTATCGTTCATCAAATCCAATGATTGACCACTCATTTTGAGGATATTCTTCTCCTTCATTGGCGAAAAATAGTCATATCTCCCCCAAATTTATGGGGGGAAAGATATGAAGGAAAAGAAAATTTATTTAAGAATAAATAAAAAAGTATGCATTTATTTGTAGATTGCATCCGTAATTATTTAAATTTTCTAAATTACATGCAAAATAAAAATCGTAACAATCGGACAATCATTAACAATGACCGTCTAAATTAGATTTGGTATACCTATAAGTTTTCGCGTTTTATTTTAGCGAACTTTTAAATTTTAAGCAAACGTTGAATTTTAACTTTCGCTTTGGTCTACCCTTCGGACGCTTACCAGTCGTTACAGCTCATATTAATTTTTTAGGAATTCTTTCATTGCCAAGCTCAGCGATTTTACATGCCCATTTTATTTACCTCAACTTAATCGTCTCAATTAACCGGATACAGTTCACGCAATTCAGCGTTGTGTAACCGCCTAAATTTTCCGGTTGACTCGTCGTTTTTCGGTCCGAGTATTCTGCGCAATACTTTATTTTCAAAAAGCTTTAGACGTTGCTCATTCCTTAATGTAACTGGCCATGTTTCGCATCCATAATGATAAATATTTTATATAAAATATAAAATACATTACAATAAATTTTTTACAATAAATATATATTTAATATAACTTAGGAAAGATTTTGCATTATTAATAAAGAATTTTATTAATTAATAAATAAAAGCATTATATAATTTAATGTAATGTTTATACATATATATATATATATATATTAATTTTATTAATTAATAAATAAATCATAGTAAATAAAACTTAGTAAAGTTTTTCCATTATTAATGAAGAATTTTATTGCTTTGTATCTTTTTCGGGATGAAAAAAGGGTTCTATTTGTTGATTATTAATTAATTTAGAATTAAAAAGTATTTGATTTTTTTAATATAACCATTAACAAAGCTCAAACCTTTTAGTTACGTTTATGGTCACAAAAAATTTTCTGAGAATACTTGTATTTGTGATTAAGGATTGATATTTTCGTTAAGTTTCGCCCTTTCGTTAAGTTTTATCTTTCAATTCCGAACATGCATTGTTGGATTCAGTGCCTGTGGTCTTCCCCACCTCAGCCTCCCTCCCAAAAAAATTTTTTTTTCGTTGGTTCGCATTTACTTCTGAGTATTTTGAGATAATTACTTAAACAATAATAATTGTGTTATTTTAAAATTATAATTAAATCTAAGTTCGTATCAACGAAAAAAAAATTAAAATTACTCCTAACAGATATTTTTTTTTTGCTTCTAATTACGTTTATTTCCTTATGTATTTAAAAGGACTTAAAAAAAAAAAAATAAAACTATTAACTCTTTCCAAAAATAAATACTGGATCCGCTAATGTAAACATGAGCGAGCTGTAAAGAAGATATGGAGGAATGGGACAGTTTAAAATTCCAGGCATTTAAATCTTAAAGGGCCCATGCTGGAGAAGTGGAGGGGAGTAGTGGGGGCGAAACAAGTCCAGTATTACTCGAGTCGTTGCGAGGAGAGGTTATATCTTTTGTCTCTCTCTGCTCTGGATCGTAAAATTCTCCTCTCAGTCGTACTAACAGGTATGGTTCTTTTTTAGTTATGTATTAGGAGTATTATATCTCATTTTTAGTTTCACGTCTTGTTTAATTTATAAGTTACGTAAAATAATCAAAGGAATTTTAAATCAAATCTCCATTTATTTCGCAATTATTTTAATGTCATCAACCAGCAATATGAATACTGTTTTGTATTTTGGAAAAAGTGTTGATGTATTACTAAGTATAATAAAACTAAAACATTAATACTATAAACATTGTTTGTTATATCGCATTCTATTACCTATTGTGAATTTAGTGTATAGAATTAGATGAAATATGTTTGCCCCTTGACATCGGTTTTAAAAATGAATACCTATTAAGTTTTATTTTTTAATGATGGTCAAAAAAAAAAAAAAAAAGAGAGTTAGCTAACTGAGTGGTACTGTGTGATGTAAACATCTACAGTTCATGTTCTTTATTATTATTTTAACAATCATTTCTGGCTGTCAATTTCCGAAAACCTGTGTAGCTGAGATTTCAAAAATAGTTTAAAAAAAATTATATTCAAATTTTTTTGAGATGATTAAAATATGATTTATTAGCCTCGTCTAATGTGTATATAATATTTGTGACTATTATTTATTACTGAAACAAAACCAAGTCTTAGCGATGGATAATAGGGTTAAGATAATATATAATTTGATGATTTATTTGTGTATAATTAAAAACAGATATTAAGTAAATACAAATAATTTATCTTCTTTTAAGATGTTTTTACAGTTAAAGTATTCGAACTATTTAATGAGCGCATTAAAATTATCCACACGTAGATTGATAATTGTGTGACAAATTAGATTTTTATTTTCATGATTTACTACAAGCAGTCTCCTCCAAAAACACCTCGTAAAATTATTTTTGTACAAACTACTATAAAAAGAAAAATACAGAAAAGTTATTTATTTATGTTTTATTGTTAACATTTTATTTCTAAAAACATTTGTCGCACTGCTATCCCTTGATATGAAACTGAATCTAAAAAATATTACTGAATTATGTATTTAACATTTGTTATCCTGTACCAAGGATGTAGATTGTTGATATCGTCTGTAAACTTGTGAAACCACGTAGCTGTAAAATTTCATCTTTTCAAATGACAAAAAAAAAATAAAATTATCATTATACTGAGTTTTTTATTTTTTTAAAAATATTAAGCAGATATAATAAAGTAGTAGATATAGTGTCAAATAAAAAAATTAATAATGATTTGTGAGTGGAATTTATGACAAAATAAAATAACCCTAAACAAAATGTTTTGTACTTAAATACGCGGTTTGATACTTTAGCTGTAGTATTTTCAAATGTGTGAAATTAAGTATGTAACTTTATTTTTTGAAATTTTAAGTTGTTATTCTGTGTTTAACTATTATTTTAGAAACATAACGTGTTTTACTATTAATCTGTAGCTTCTAGTTTAAAACAAGTCTTTGTGTGAATTATCATTTACCAATAATAATTATATTTTCGTAATTACTTTTTTTGGGGCTCAGGTTGCTTTCAAAAGGTTGTTACTTTGGCAATTAGTGCGTTTAGTTTTCAAAATATTCATTTTTCGTATAGTTTAAAAAGAAAAATAATGGCCATTTAATATTGACGCTATAAGCATCACATTATTCAGGGTGTCCTGGAAGTTGGGGAAAATATTTAAAGGGGAGATAGCAGACTCCAAGAGCTGCAAAAACATTAATGTAAACAATTTTCCGCAGACAATTAGGAAATTTTAAGATTTGTCATGGTAAAAAGAAATTAATGCTTTGCAATTATTTATTATGGTTATTTTTGCTGAAAACACGAGTTCTTTTAGGTGACTGAATTTCAAATCACCTTATCTTTTTATACAACTTAAGGTGAATCTCAACTTAATTAATATGGACTTAAAGCATCTTGCACAAGAATTTTTTTTCTAAAAGACGGGTATCTGTAGTATAGTTAGAAAATGAAAAAATCGCGAATAATTCATTAACAGAACTTAGCTTAGTTTTATCCTCT